TGGGGGCCTGGGAACCCTGGAGTCAGGGCAGGCCCCCGGAGCCCCCATGTCTGCACCTGCAAAGGAGGGCCCGTGTCACCTGCCGCCCGGACAGCGGACTGTCAAGTCTGCCAAGTCCAAGGTAGAAGGTGGCGGGAGGGGGGTGGGCCTAGGGGGCTGCCCTGGCCCCAGGGGCTCATTCTCTGAGACCTCTACCTTCTGCAGCGCTCCAGGGCTCGGTGTCCTTGGGCCCCACAAGGCCCCTGCTGCATGCTGGGGAGACAGAGGACAGGGGCTCAAGCTCTGGACCAAGGGTCCAAGGCGTTCACCCTGGCAGCTTCCGCCGTGCCTGCCCCCGGGGTCAGGGTTGAGCTGAGGTCAGTGCAGAATCTGGGGGCCTGGGAACCCTGGAGTCAGGGCAGGCCCCCGGAGCCCCCAAGTCTGCACCTGCAAAGCAGGGCCCATGTCACCTGCCGCCCGGACAGCGGACTGTCAAGTCTGCCAAGTCCAAGGTAGAAGGTGGCGGGAGGGGGGGTAGGCCTAGGGGGCTGCCCTGGCCCCAGGGGCTCATTCTCTGAGATCTCTACCTTCTGCTGCGCTCCAGGGCTCGGTGTCCTTGGGCCCCACAAGGCCCCTGCTGCATGCTGGGGAGACAGAGGACAGGGGCTCAAGCTCTGGACCAAGGGTCCAAGGCGTTCACCCTGGCAGCTTCCGCCGTGCCTGCCCCCGGGGTCAGGGTTCCCGGCGTCCCCATAGCAGAGTGCTGAGCAGGAGCATGGAGCTGGGGGATCGTAGGACAGAGGCCCAGAGGGTTCGAGAGGACAGCTCATCTGCTGGGCCCCAGAGGGCAGACCTTGCCCTCTAGGAGCCTGAGCCCAGGGCCCTCCTGCTGTTGCAGTTGCCATGGAAACCAGGACCCTAGGCTTTCATGGCCACCTACCCCCTCAAAGGTGGGTGAGGTGGGGAGGACCTAGTCCAGGGCTGACTGTGTTCGGTTTGGCCCTTTGGAGCACAGTCTTCCCGGGGAGGCAGAGAGAAACCCCAGGGCCCAGCCTGTGGCCACGCAGTGAAGATGGCGGGGCATTCTGGGCCACCCAGGGACCCTCCAGCCCATCTCCCACAGCTGGGGGCAGGAGAGAGGGACTCTGGGACCCTGGGGCTGCCAGAGACAGGAGGGAAACATGGCAATAAAGCACCAGGTGTGGGGAGATGGGACTTGGGCCAGGATTCATCTGCTCTAGAGAAAGAAATTCCCTCCGGGTTCCTCACCAGCCTCTTATCCCTCATGCACATGCCAGGGCCTATGTGCTTGGAACAGGGGACTCTTGGGGCCCCCCAGGCCCAACCCGGCCCCCCCCAGCACCCCAATCCTGAGTTTTCAGGGCTCTGGACTCAGACAAGCTGCTTGGCACAAAAACCCTGGCCTGAAACAACGTCAGCTCTGCCCACAAGGGTCTCGGTAGGCTCAGCCACACCCACCGGCCCCATTCACACCCAGGCTTGACCCTACCTGAACTCGAATGTCCTCCTGGAAGGGAGGCCCAGGGTGCAAGCAAGCAGATGTGCACCCCACTCAGCAGGTGTCAGACATGCGACTCCCCTGAAGTTGGCCCCTGCCGTTGAAGCCCCGAAGCTCAGCTCTCTGGGCCTTGCTGGCCACAGCCCTCTGCAGTTTGCCAGCGCTTTCCCAATCACGCTCACATTCAGTCTTCCCAACATCCTAAGGAGGCAGGCAGAGCAGGGATGGTCATTCCGATCTCACAGGTGAGGAAATGAGGCTCTGAGAAGGTTCGTCCCTTGGACGGTGGGCTGGAGGTGGGACGTGCACCCCGATCCAGGGCCCTAGAGGAATGTGTGGCCTCAGGCCCGTGGGGCCTCTTCCTGGGTTGACTCACACGGCGAGGGTGACACGCAGGCTGGAAGGTCCCTAAGCCCCCGGGAGTGGCCCGACCAGCAAGTGGCGGAGTCTCTGGTGAAGAGCCGGCAGGGGAAGGCTGCCGTATCCGTGTTGTCTCCCTCCCCAGACACGGGGCCTTTGTCCACGGAGGCACTGACGTCTGTGGCTGACATTAATGAACAGATGGATGGACAGGCGACACATGGATTTGTTCCCTTGTTCCCGGTGGCGAGCACTCCCGGGAAATGGTCTGAGGAACCAGAGATGCTGCCCCGCTGGGCTGCCGGGGCACCTCCTGGCTCATCCCGCTCCAGTCCTGGAGAGGCGGCTCAGAGAGGGAGGTGCCCTGCCTAAAGCCACACGGCACGCCAGGGCCCCGCAGAGGCCTCGGGTCTGACCCCTGGCATGGGGCCCCTACACTTACTTGGTGGGAGAGCCTGGGCCCCCCAAGCTTCCACACTCCCAGGCTCTCTTGCTGGCCCCCAGGGAATTTCTGTGCTGGAACTGGGGGGCAGGGGGCACCCCGATGATGAATGAGCAAATCAGTAGAGGGACAGAGGGATCGATGAGGAAGGACCTGAGACGGGGTGATTGATGACTGTAGACTTTTGGTTGGGGGAGGGGGAGGGCCTGACAAGGAGGACCAATGGGAGGAGCTATGGGGAAGGCCTTCCCGTGGTGGGGAGGGGTGGGTGATGGTGGTGAGCAAGCTTGGGGCCTTGGGTGGAAGGCGAGGGGTGCAGGTGGGAGCCTGTGATGGGGGTGCCGGCCCATTTGGAGCCAGCCTTTATTGACAGCATCCTAGGAAGCCGTTGGAAGCTTTAAGCAGGGGGTGGGGTGGTGGTGGAGGGGTGGGGACAGGTCACAGCTCTGGGAGGGAAACTTTCCCTGGGGAGGCACTGAGGTTTGGTGACTTTGAAGTGGAGTGTTAGTCACTCAGTCGTGTCCGACTCTCTGCAACCCTGTGGACTGCAGCCCGCCAGGCTCCTCTGTCCATGCGATTCTCCAGGCAAGAGTACTGGAGTGGTTGCCTTCCCTTCTCCAGGGGATCTTCCTGACCCACAGATGGAACCCGGGTCTCCTGTGCTGCAGGCAGATTCTTTATCGTCTGAGACACCAGGGACTTCGGATGGTTTTAGCCCCTCCCTCGCACCAAGGCCCGGGTCGGCAGAACCCCAGGGCCCCACCAGGCACTGTCTCCCCACTGGGGGATCCCATAACTCCCTCCCAGAGCCTCACACTGTCCACCGGGAGAGGCCCCAGTATTATCAACAATACCATTGTCACTGACTCCTGATGCTGGCACCCAGCACGGGGTCCCCTCAGCGCGGGTGGGAGAATGGGATGTGACCCTGACTCATCTGTGGGTTCAAGGCCAGCCTTCCCCTCCCCACACCTGTCACAGGGGACGCTCTTTCTGCCCACCCGCTCCCCACCCTGTATAGCCTCCTCCATCCCTGCTCTGCCTTCGTTCCTGGTCCCTGGGCCCCAGGGACGTAGCAGAAGAACTTGGACGGTTCTGATTTACACCCAGGAAGCGCGAGAGCCTCAGAGGAGGGGGAGCACAGTGCTCACTGATAGGTTTCCTGTCCAGAGGAGCAGATAAATCACCATCTGCGCCTTCACTCTGTGGCTTGTCACTTCCAGTTTAGCAAGATCCCAGGTAACACTGCAGCCAGCCTGCCCCACGGCTGCCTGCCAGACTCCTTCTGTTCTTCTTCCATCGGCCTCCACCGGGCCCTGGAACATGGCTCCCGTCTTGTCCAGGTGCGGGTCCCGAGAGCCTAGGGTGCTGGGGGCCGCCCTGCCTTGCACTAGCCGTGTGGTCCCAGCCGGAGCCCCCCGCCCCACGCCGGGCCCCCTCCCTGGGTCTCCGCTCCCTCCACCGCAACTGCACCAGGAGGCCCAGCTCTCAGGAAGCGGGGAGCTGCCCCTGATGGGCACCCCAGACCTCCCAGCTCATCAAACCTGACACGTGAAGCCCGGATGGGCCCTGCCCCAGCCCAGTGCTCCCAGAGCTCCCAGGGGCCTCTGTGTCCTGGGAGACTCTAGACTCTGGTCCCTGGGAGACTCTAAGCCCCTTCCCTTGCTCTGAGGCTGCCCAGTCTCCCCCTGGGCCAGGCCAGATTCTACTGAGCTCTTCTGGGCCAATCAAAGGCCCAGGCAAGGATTAGAAACTTCTGGAAAGAAAGCCTGGGCCTCTGAACCTGGGAGCAGTACCCACACTCTTGAGTGTCAGCTTCTGATGTGGGTGGCAGGGGTGGCAGCAAGGTGTGTGTCGGGGGGAGGGAGTCCTTGCAGCTCATTCCCCACCCCCGCCCCTCACCCCTTCTGTGAGCCTTACGCCTCTAGAGCTCTGGCTGCTTCTGGGTGGGGACATGGGGATGGGAGGCTGGAACAGGACTTAGAGGAGCCAGGCCTGCACATGAGACCCCTAAGTGGCCCATTTCCCCTGCCTCAGTGTTCTCATCTGTCAAATGGGCTTGGAGGGTCTCCCCCGCAGAGGTGGGGGAGTTAATCAGGGGCCAAGGGTGAGGCCCTCCCTTGGCTGATTTCTGCCAGGTCACCCACGTGCCGCTCACGGCAGTGTTAATGGAGCATCCGCTCTGTGCAGGCATGGACCAGCCACCAGGTGTCCTGCCGGAGGGCGCAGCAAACACAGGAAGTATGGATCCTACTGAGTGTGCGCTGAGCACTGCCCTGCTCGGGGCCAACCTGTACGAACCCGTCTCTCCCTTCAAGCCATGGCAAAGCATACATTCTTGTCCCCAGTTTACAGGCAGCATAGGCCTGCTTCTATAGGCTTTCTACATTTTCTGTGGCATCTGGTATATTCTCCAGGGCCCAGCAGGGTTCGTGTCAAGAACAAAATGGAATATTATTCATCCTGAGAAAGGAAGGGGGCTCTGACATGGTCTACCATGTGTGTGACATGTGGAGAAGTTCAGAGGGCTCTGTTCCTCAACCTAGGGGTGGTCCACATGGGGGTCCTCACTTTGGAAACTTTCAGTGAGCTGGGCGCTAATGTTTTGTAAACATTTCTATGAGTGTATCGTGCTTCAGAAAAAAGATGGTCAAAAACAAACAAAAGCTGGATGAAAGGAACAAATGAATCTCAGGCCAGTCCACCTCAGGAGATGCTGTTGGCTGGAGCACAGTGGAATACAGGAACCATGGGGCAGGAGGAGGGGTGTGGCCCCCGAAGCCAATGTCCTGGGCAAGTCCCAGCCAGGCCACCTGTCTGAGCCTCAGTTTCTCCCTGTGAGAAGGGGTGAGGAGTCAGACTCTGAAGGAGGGCTTCAGTGGAGCCAAGAGTGTGGTTTGCTGCACCCACGGGCAGAGGGGACCCCATGCTGCCTGCACACCCCTACCCCCAGCCTGCCCCCAGGTTCCCTGGCCACAGTGAGTCCTGGAGAGACCCCTGACACAGTCCCAGGGTGCGGTGCCCTGCCAGCTGCCCACCGTGTCGGGAGCTCAGCAGACACCCCCCCACCTGTGGGTGGGGTCCTGGCATCACTGCCCACCTATGCTTTGCTCCCTAAGTTTTCTCCCTAGCTCAGCAGAAACCCCTCCTCCCAATTAGCCATTCTGCTCCAGTTACCAGCAGAAGCCTGGGGGAGTCTCTGACAGCACCCCCCAAGAGGCTGTAGGGACAATGGGCTGGCAAAGATCACCTCCCAGCCTACTGGGACATGGTTGGCAGCCTGTGAGCTGTGTCAGAAAGTCTCCTGTTTGGCATAGGTGTGTTGCTGAGGCCAGTCCGTTAGGGACCCAGGTGGGTAGCTCCAGCCCATGCCTGTCTCCCAAGGCCCTGCATTAGCTGAATTTCCTCGAAGGTGGAGTCGTCTCGGGCCTGGAGCTCAGGTCTGTGACTTTGAACCACCTGTGAATAACAAGAGCGCAGACACTCAGGCAGGAAGAGGACACTCACATTGTCACATGGTCTGGGAGGCCCAGGCAGCGGATGGCAGATCTGAGACCCCAGGAGAGAGGACAGGCTGCCCAGGCTCAGACATCCAGGCAGCGAAGGAGGCAAGAAGGCATCAGGTGGGTCAACTGCAAACCCAGGGATGACAGCAAACCACCTCCTCGGTGTGGACAGATCCTGAACTGTCAGGGTAGGAATGCCCACAGGCATTATGGGGTCCAGCCCCACTTTACAGATGGCGAAACTGAGGCCCAAAGGCGAGAAGAGACTTTAAGGTCTCCCAGTGAGTCCTTGGCACAGCTAAAACGGACCCTCCTCTGCCTCTCGATAAACAAAGCAAACCAGCCACGTGGCAGGTGGCGCCCGGTGCTACACACAACAGAGCTGGCCTGCTGAGTTCATGCTGGAGGCAGAACGGGGGCTGGGGCTGGGGCTGGAGCACGTGGGCACCGGGGTCCAGAGGACCAGGACTTGTGAACCAGGGTCAGGAGTGGAGACGCTTCTAGCAGCCACTTCCCTAGTTTGAATGTGGGAGGAGCGGGGAGAGACATCCACCAATGGGGGGAGAGGGGGCGGGGCCGTGGCATGGGGCTGTCTGGGAGGGGGCGGGGCCATGGTACAGGGCTGTCTGGTCCTCTGAGCGTCAAGAGGCTGGTTGGACATCCAGGTGGACACGCTGAGCAGGAGGTTGGATGAGTCAGGTTGGGGAGAATGCCCCGAGAAGGGATGCACCCTTGGAAGCCTCCAGATCGGATGAGGTGAACAGGGAGTGCATTAATTCATAGAGAAGAAATCCAACAACCAAGCTGGGAACCACCCAGGTTTAGGTGTTTGGGAGACTGGGCGGCCAGGGAGGTGGGAGAGAACTAGGCAAGGGTGGGCTCCTGGGGGCCAAGGGCAGCTGGCACTGCTAGGAGGTGGACGGCGGCCATGCTGCTGACAGTTACAGCCAGGCAAGACACAGAAGTGGGCACAGCTCAGGTGCCAGGAGGGAATGGAGGGCTTCAATGAGAGCATCTCCACGGAGTGACGGGGGTTACAGGATGGCCACCAGGTGGGCTGAGAGCTGGTGCGTGGGAGCAGTGGCCGGGACAGCTTTCCAGAACCGTGGCTGTGAAGGACAACGGGCTGGATAAGGGCGCCCTTTCCTCCTGGGGGCCAGGGAGTACAGGGTGCTTCTGTGCTGATGGATTGATCCAGGAAAGGAGGGAGGTTGGATGAGGCTCAGGGGGAGGGGGGAGGTCTGCTAGGGGGAGGGGAGAGCTCCATCTGTGTCCACGTGGGGACATGAATGCATCTTACAGACCCACGCGGAGAGTGGGCACATGGGTCAGCAGCCTGACCTGGTTGCTTCTGATTCCTCAGCGAAGAATGAAGCGAGGTCACTGGCTGAGCGTGGGATGAAGGAGGGAAGGTGTGAAGCAGGCCTTTTGCAGAGTGGAGGGGTGGGGGGGGTGTTTCCAACACGTGTTCTCACTCCCACACGCATGTACAGAGCCAGCGCTTCCCTCCTGCATAAGTTCCTACTAGAAGTACACTTTCTGGATTGTCTTCCTGTAACCGCTCACAGCATCCTTAGGATAAACAGATCCACCGTCTCTGCACACGTGCCAAGGTGGTGATGGCCGTGCAGCTCCTTTGAACAGGTGTTGGCTTCTCTCTGTGACTAGTGATGCTGTAACAAAATGCGCAGCTAGCTCTGGGCAACTGAGGACTACTTCATATGAGGGGCTCTAGCTAGTGGACTGTCTCACTCAAGGTGGTGCATGTGATGACAATTTTGATGCCGCTGACCTTTCACGAAAGCCAAACCTGTTGACCCCCTGAGCCAGAATATTGAGAATGTCAGCTCCCCTGACATCAGAACCCTTTTTTTGTTGGCGTTCTCATGGGTGAGAACTAACACAGCATCGTTTTAATTTTCAGTTCCTTGGTCACTGGTGAAGGTGAGCATGTTTCTTTATGTTTCACTCATTCACTATTTTACTCCTTTTCCTGTTGTTTGTGTTTTTCTCACTGCTTTCTAGCACATCTCCTGCGGAAGGAGGCTATTAAGCTTTTGTTATATATGTCGCAAGAGTCTTCTCTCCCTTTGGCATATGTCTTTTTCACTTTGTTTTCATTCATCTATAGGAGTTTCTTGCAGAAACTTGCAGAAAAGTATAGGCTTTTATGCAGACGATTTTGCCAGCCTGTCTGTGGTGGGAACTATCGCCTGTTGCCCAGATGCTCCTCAGGCCTGGCGCCTGCATCCCTGCTGTTGCCACAGAGAACTGGCTTCTCCCGGTCTCACCCTCTCCTCGCAGCGGGTGTCCTGGTGACTGAGCAGCTGATGCCCCAGGTTGGGACCCCTCTGAAGGTGCCCCTAGCCCCAGAGCACCTGTAGCCTCTGTGGGACTGTCTCTTTTTCCTGCTCAGTCTCCCTCACTCCCCACGGAGACAGGGTGTGCTGTGTCCAGGGGCAGCCACACCCGGCACCAATAAGTTCGTGGCTTAAAAGAATAGAAAGTATTCTCTCATAGCTCTGGAGGCCAGTGGTCTGAAAGTGAAGGGTCTGAAGGGCTGCGCTCCCTGAATGCACCCCGGGAAGACTCCTTCCTGCCTCCTCCAGCTTCGGGGGGCTGCCGGCACCCCCCGGTTTCCCTTGGCTTGCGGCCACATCACTCCAGTCCTCTGCCTCTCAGACCACATGGCCTTCCCTTCTCTGCCTGTGTTCTCACCTCTGCTGTTTCTTACACGAGCACTTGTCATTGAAAACTCCTGGTGGCCCAGAGATTAAGACGCCAAACATTCCTGGCTAAGGGCATGGGTTCAATTTAGTCAGGGAACTAAAATCCTGCAAATGATGCAGCAGGGAAGAAACAAACAACAAACAAACAAACAAAACCATCAAAATATTTGTCATTGGGAATTCCCTGGCGGTCCAGAGGTTGGGACGCCACGATTTCACCACCAAGGTTGCAGCTTCAGTCCCTGGCTGGGGAACTAAGATCTTGCAAACTGTGGAGCACAGTCAAAACCAAACAAATACCACTTGTCTTTGAACTTTGGGCCCCTCCTGATAATTCAGAAGTCCATCTGAAGTTCCTTAACTTGATTGCAACTGCAAAAACCTCTTTGACCAATAAAGTCACAGCCAGAGGTTCCAGGGGGGAGGCTGTGGACGTGTCTTTCGGGCCACCATTCAGACCACCCCAGGCATCTACTGAGAGTCCTTTCTGCCCTTCCTGCCCCTGCCCCCTGGACCTTGTGTGCCAGATTCCTGTTTCAGCCTCCAGGGACGCCAACCCCAGATGCTACCCCTCCTCCAAACTTCTGGGACAGGGACCCTCAGAACAAGAAGGTTCAGGCCCCAAGTCCTCACTTACCTGGTTGTGCAAATTTGGACAAGTCCCTTCCTCTCGGGGGTGAGGGGGAAGCTTCCTGTTGTCTGAAAGAATTGTGTTAGATGCTGGTGAGGGTTTTCTGGCCTTCTGCCATCTGACGCTATTCACATACCAGAATCATCCACACTCAGTCTTGAGCAGCTCTTGGCCCCTGGGGGAAACGGGAGTGAGACTGGGGAGAGGACACGCGCCCTGGCCTGGCCCCTGGAGAGCTGACATCAGGCTCCTCCCGACCCCCCCACCCGCCGTTCCAGAATAGCTCTGATGTCATTCGTGATTGTCCCTTTCTCCCACAATGAAAGCCAGCAAGCGAGAAAAAGGGGTTTCTCTTCTAAAATTGCTTTTCTGTGTTCTTTGACAGAACTGTGTGCCTGCGTGTAATTAATTCACAGCCCGGCGACCGGGTCAGTGGCTTGGCTCAGAGAAAAAGCTCTAGAGAAAAGCAGAGACGCACAGTTACCGCTGGAAATGAGATTCCCCCAGCCGCCCAGACCTGCCGCTGCTCTCAGACCAGAATAAACACCTGCAAATCCCGCCTGTCGGAAACTTGGCCTCAAGGGCTTTGACCTTCTGAACGCAAGCTGGCGCCGAGACCCTGAGAAGTCTGACCAGAGGAAACCTTGTAAGGTTTCCCCGAGATTTCTCAGTCTTCCTAGAGGCCTGGAGACAGGTGTTTCAAACCAGCATGGTAGCACGTCTTTTCCAGAGTGTGGGGTGAGTCCTAGTCTGCTGCCAGCCTTCTACGTGACCTTGATCAGACAAAATATGCTAGGGTGTCTTCCTTGTCCATAAAGTGAGATAATGCGATACTATTCCTAAATTGCAAGTCGATTATAAAGACCAAAGATCTGCTTGAAACATCTGATCATTCCTCTCTGGCAACTACCTGTGAGGACTTTATCCAGGGGACTCGTGGGTGACATGAGCAAGGCAATTCTGTAGAACGTGGAAGAGTAGAAACAACCCTATTCGCCACCTGTAAGGGCTTGTTAGGAAGAGGACCGTTTGTAGGACAGAAGACTGCAACCAAGAAAATTCATCTTGCNGGGGATTAGAGGAGGCAGGGAGTCCAGGCTGCAGGCCGGGATTCTCAGGGGAGGTGCTGCTGCTATACGGCTTTCTCAGCATCCCTCCTATTCTTCTTCTGCTCAGGGCTCCGGCCTTCTCCAAAGAAGGGGGTCCCCCATGTACTGCCAAGGGGTCTCCTCTATACAGCTATGGAGTGCATCACAGCAGAGCTAACATTTTTCTTGGATTCTTTCAGAGTTGGAAGGCTTCAGGCAGGGTTGGCAAATCGCTTTCATCTCAAGTGCCAACCCTAATGGATCAGCAGAGGCTGCCAGGAAAGTTGGGAAGGGTTCTGTGGCCCAGTTGGGATCCAGGGCAAGCTCTCTGGCCCTGTCCCCATGATCATCAGCAGAGGACGGGTGAGACGAGGTGTTTCCCAGGCTGGGCTGGGGACTAGCTGGGATACCCGGCCCACCAGAGGACCACCCAAGACCCCACATCACGCTCAAGAAAGCTTGAATGGCCTCCCCAGGGTCAAGCCTCCTGCAGCCTCTCTGTAGTTCCACCAGCTGAGTCAAGAGGTGGGAGGAGATGAGAATGGAGGCAGGCGGGGGGGGGGTGTTGCTTCCAGAGTCGTCAGGGTACCCCAGGGATCGTCCCACAGCCTGGAGCTTCCCCAGCGCCCGGGGAGGGGGCCCGCAGCGTGCCAACTCGTGTTTCACAGATTATACTGTGTGGAATCGGCTGCCCCTGGTAATTATTTCACTTCTATAATTAGCCCAAAGTTCCTGCTGCTGAGGAGGACAAGGATGTGGGGTGTGAGGGTGAATTGCTGTGACTGAGCGCTTGACTCACACCCTAGAAATGCCCCATCGTAGGGAAGGGGTGCCCTTCCTTGGGGTGGGCTGCCCACTTGTTCTAGAGCAGCTGAGGTTCCAAACCACCTTTCCAAGACAGGAATCACCCCCCATGGTCTGATGATAAGCGTGTGCTCAGCATCTTGAAGCCCCTCCACGCACTTCCCTCCTTTGTCCCCAGCACACGCTGTGAGATGAAACCTCACGTGGTCCTCACCACCCTGCGGGAGATCTTGGGGTCTGATGCACAGGTGGGATTTGAACCCCGGGTGGGCCAGCCTCTCCTCCACAGCCTCGGTATCACCCACAGTCACACTCCTCCCAGACAATGGCCCCGGAGGAATCCCTGCAGGACTTGGTTCTAGAACACTCCGGAGATGGTCTTCGGGGACACATTCTCATCTTTAAGAAAGAGTTGGTGGGAGCTCTGGTGGTCCAGGGGTTAGCATTCCTTGCTCTCACTGCCAAGGATCCGGGTTCAATTCCTGGTCAGGGAACTAAGATCCCTCAAACCACGAGGCACCACGAAGAAGAAAGGAAGAAAGAGCAGGTACTTTCATATTTTTGAGGATGGGCAGACTTTGGAGGGTTCCGTCAGCCAGTCGTGGGTTCCTGTGTCCACCCTCCCTTCTCCTGGGGACACAGCAAACGATAAAGGGCAGGCTAGGGGTGAGGGCTGTGAGTTCAGCCCCAACTCCCCCCGCCCACTTACCACCACCACAAGGTCTCAGGCTGAGATCAGGCTTAATAGCAATGAGATTTCTTATTTCCCAACTGCCTCTGGGAACAGCAGAAAACAAATATCAATTATGGGCAGAATTGTCAGTCAGAAAAAAAGATATTGCTCTCGATTCAGAATTTACAAACAGTTAATTAAGCCTGCAGTGAGGAACATGCCTGTGGGCCTGCTCGCCCACCCAGAGAGAACCTTCTGGTCTCCAGGGATCCCACGTGAATCCCCTCGTTGGGGCTGCAACCCCCCACCCCCATCCCATGGGCTCTAGCACGTAACACCTGTCTTGGCATACTGATCTCAAGAGCTCAGTCCCATCAGTCACCCACCCCCTGGGACCAGAGACTCTGAACCCAGCTCCAAACCTGCTCCCCGGAGTCTTGCTCTGTGTCCCCTGTTTCAGGCCTAACTGCTTCTTCGGTCTTAGACTCAAGAGTGGGAACATTATTAAGGCTTTTGATAGACCCAGCCCAATTAGGAAGGGTCTTGTTTCATTCCGTCTGGGATAAAAAGAGGGCAGTGTGGAGGGATGGGGCCCGTTGCTGATGGAAGGAGGCAGCTCTGCAGACAGCGGAAGGTGGCTAAGAGGCATGAGGTGCGGGACAGATTTATACCTTCGCTTTCAAGGAAACGACTCTTTATTCAGGAAATGAGGGTGCCAAGCAGGCATCAGAGAAAGTGGAGTGGCCAATTAAAATCCTCACACAGAGCCGAGAGTGCCAGACACCATGGGGAAGAGGACAGGCCCACCCCTGCTCCTGGGCACACATTCTGTTTGGAGAGACAGAGAATAAACAAACAAACCTGTTAACAAGCACAATCATTTCAGGTGTCAATCAGTGTAACAAAATAAGTAAGCAGGGACTTCCCTGGTGGTCCAGTGGTTAAGAATCCGCCTTCCAGTGCAGGGGATGCGGCTTTGATCCCTGCTTGGGGAACTGAAGAATTGATGCTGTTGAACTGTGGTAGTGGAGAAGACTCTTGAGAGTNGGGGAACTGAGATACCATTGCCGTGGGGGCAACTAAGCCCTCACACTGCGACTCTCGAGCCTGGCCGCTCTGGAGCCCTGCTCCACAAGAGAGAGCCCGGACGCCACAGAGACCCTGGGTCACAAAATTAAATAAAAGAACTGAAAGTAGCAACAACAATAGAAACAGGAAAAGGAAGGAAGACAATAAAAGAAACAGTGGGGAGGTGGAGAGGGCTGTTTTCCCTGTCTGGTCCGGGAAGAGGTGATTCGGAACTGAGACCTGTCTGTCAGGCAGACAGCCGGGCTCAGAACACTTGGCAGAAGGGGCAGATGCAAAGTCTCCAAGGCAGCAAAGAGCTTGACGTACTTGAAGATCAAAAGGAAGGTCTCTGTGCCTGGAGATTAAGGGACTGCCGAGCGTGAGGGTGAAATCTGAGAGCGGGGTAGGGATTGCAGAGCCTCGAGACCAAATAAAGAACCCGAATTCCTTTCTGAGCAGCACCAGAGGCCAGGGCATGAAGCCACTTGCGTTTGGCCAGGATGGAGTAACTGGCACCCGGCCATGCCCTCCCGAATGTGTTCACCACTATGTATGGTGCTCAGCTGTTCAGTGTGTCTGACTCTTGTGCAACCCCCTGGACTGGAGCCCACCAGGTTCCTCTGTCCCGTGGGATTCTCCAGGCAAGAATACTGGAGTGGGTTTCCATTTCCTCTTGCAGGGATTGAACCCCTGCCTCCTGAATCGGCAGGTAGATTCTTTATCACTAGCACCACCTGGGAATAAACAAGAGGCAACTCCTGGCAGGCAGTGGGCAATAGGCAGTGCAAGACTTTCCCTGAGAGAAGGAAAGCCCACGGGGCACCCGCAGCCACCAGTTCCCTCCCAGGGGAGGGCTTCCTAGGTGCAGCCCAGGGACCTAAGCCGAGCTCAGTGGCCACGGTGAGCTGAGAAGACAGTGGTCAGAAGTCAGGGCAGCTGGGACCAGCAGAGTTAGACATCAGAGAGGAGGGGACAGTGCACACAGAGGGCCCAGAACTCAGTGTGGGGTCTCCTGTTGAGAGCACGGCTGGAGGATGTTCTGTCGGTGCTCAGAGCAAGACCATCTAAGACTTTCAGAGAGTGGACCCTGCGGAACTGCAAGCAAGCTGGAAGCACTGGAGGTCTGAGTTAAACTGGGGAAGAACAGGGAATACTGCACTTTCAGCCTGGCCAGAACAGAGGAGTCTTCACACTTCGTTGATACTCTCAATATGCAGCTGAGACCCCGGAGAGGCTTTGTCTTAAGAGTGGGAACCATGTATTAGGGTAAGAGTTACACTGGACTCCTCCTTTGTTGTTCGATTGCTAAGTTGTGTCTGACTATTAAAGCTTAAAACCAAGTCCCCAGAAGATCTGCAAGGAACACAGGGTTCAGAGGTAATTCTTGCCAACTAAGAGGAATCCGTGTCTCCTGCAGAAAGAATCTGCCTGCAGAAGCCGCTGCAGATGCCAGTCGGGAAGATCCCCTAGAGAAGGACATGGCAATCCATTCCAGTATTCTTGCCTGGAGAATCCCATGGACAGAGGAGCCTCGTGGGCTACTGTCCATGTGGTCACAAAGAATTGGACACACGCATGCAAGAGGAACTGAGGAAATAAGCTGGCCTTCTCCATATTCACGTGAACAAAGTGTAAGCTGAGTCAGCTGATAGAATAACAGCCTGCTAAAACAGGAACCACTCTTTACAGGATGACCGTAGACTCTACTATCTCTACAATATGTTGTTCACAATGCCCAGAATTCAATTAAAAAATTGCTAGAAACACAAAGAACAGGAACGTGAGACGGACAGTTAAGGGGAAAAAGTGGGCAATAATAGAAATTAAACTTGAGATGACTCCAACATTGGGCTTAGTGGACAAAGACTTTAAAGTAGCTGTTACAAATACATTCAAACAATTAAAGGAAAAGTGTCTTTAAGAAATTAAAGAATATGATATTAATGAGTGAACAGGTAGGAAAACTCACCAGAAGAGTAAAAACTACTAAAAATGCAAACTCTAGAAGTAAAGTGTACAACTGCAATGAAAAATTCACTACATGGGCACCACAGTGTATTGATAGAAATGATGGGGAAACAATACAGACCAATAAAAAATTATCCATACTTAAGAATAGAGAGTTTTTTAAATGAAGAAAAATAAAAGGGCAGAGAAAGTATAGTCTTCTCCGTAAATGGTGCACCTGTTCTGAACTGGGCCCCATGCTGGTCCCTGGGCTCCTGCGGATGATGCATTGTCCCCCTCCAATCCCATATCTGGGCTGGATGACCCTGACTGAGCTAGGGTGGGCTCAGGGCAGGGGAGACTGAGCCATGGAGGAGCCTCCTGTGTGGAGGCGGCCAGGAGGGCAGGGAGCCAGGAGAAGGGGTCTCTGTCTGGGGCACCAGGGATGTGCGTCTTCCCTCTTCCGCCAGATCACCCGATTGACAGTAAATGTCCACTGATTGCTTGGTATGTGCCAAGCAGTGGTCAGGACTGACCCCCCAGACGTGAACAAGACAGACGGGGCCCTGCTGACTTGGCCTGACCTTCCAGAATGGGGTCAACCCGCACTTCATAAGTAAACAGACCAACTGTTTATGTTGGGGACTAGTGCTTGCGAGTAACATGTAGGCTTTAGAACACGCGTGGGGGCTGCTAGCCATTCTGACTCAGGAGAAGTGGTTTAAAGGCACAGGAGTGGGTTCTACTGAAAGTTTCAAAAAGCCCAGGTACGTGGACATAAGGCCCAGGGGTGAACCGGAGCTCCCAAGGCTGGGGCAGAGGCTCTGCTCCCTGAGCCGCTGAGATGGGAAGGGGCGGGGGCACAGCTGGAGGCGTGCACTGTGACTACAGAGGAGCTGCGTGTCTGATAGTGAGCTCCCCGTTGCTGGAGGTATGCGAGCATTCACCACCACCAGGAAGGCTGCCAAAGGCACATGAGTGCCGCAAAGGAATAGAGAGAGGCTGTCAGTGCAGTGGCTGGGGGCACAGGCATCTAACTCTGACCGTTTAACCTTGGCTTTCTTATCTGTAAAATGGACCACCACACTGACCTGAACCAGAAAACCATCTCAACTCATAGTCTGAGGTCAGGTGGGCAGGCACGCAGGCTGTCCTCTGCCATCGCTTTCTGGGCACTGTCGCCCCCCTCCAGCCCCATCTCTTCCTAACTCCATGCTTCTCTCCATGTATCTCTTGCCTTGTCTCACCTTGCGTCTGTCTCTCCCACCCCTCCCCACTTCCCGTGGGGACAGGGGAGGAAGATGGGCTGGAATTAGACCTGCAGCTGGGAGGTCAATTGCCACCCTCTCTTTCCTCTCTGCTGGGGCGGTGTTGGGGGGTGATTTTCACAGTCCCCAGAGAAAGGGGGACCCAGTAATAGAAATCCTGGGCTGGGCCTGGATTGGAGTGTTGTGACCATCAGATCACAGACAGGTGAGGTGTTCTGGCTGGGGTGGGGTGCACTGGAGAGAACCCAGGGACCCATCGGGTGCCCAGACGCAGGGCATCAGGACTCAAGAGGGCAGGTGGGTGCTCGGGGCTCTGTCCCCGGAGGGTGATCGTCCCCCGGGTCCGCC